ACAACCACTTTGGAAATCAATCAGGCACTTTCTCAGATAATTAGGAATAGTGCTCAATTAAATATAGCTCAAGATCTAGCTATACCACTCCTAGACATATATCCAATAGATGCTCAAGTATACAACAAGGACATTTGCTCAACCGCATTCATAGCAACTTTATTCGTGATAGCCAGAATCTGGAAACAACCCAAAATGTCCTCATTTGAGTAATGAATACAGAAATTGTGGTACTTTTACACAATGGAATACTACTCTGCAATTCAAAACAAGGAAATAATGAAATTTGCAAGCAAGTGGATGGAACTAGAAAAGATTATCCTGAGTGAGGTAATGCTGAAGCAGAAAGACACACATGGTATATACTCACTAATAAGTGGATATTAGACATATAATATAGGATAATCATACTAAAATCTGCACACCTAAAGAAGCTAAGCAAAAAGGAGGACCCTGGGTAAGATGCTCAATCTTCATTCTGAAAGGCAAACGGAATAGATATTGGAAGATGGTGAAAATAAGAAGTAGCCCCTGGCAGCTCAGTGTCCAAGAAGGTTCCCCAATAATAGAAACAGGGACTATCTCTGACATGAACTCATGGGCTGGGCCTTTGATCACCTCCCCCTGAGGAGGGGGGCAGCCTTACCAGTCCATAGAGGAAGACAAAGTTAAGCCAGTCCTGATGAGACCTGATAGACTAGGGTCAGATGTAAGGGGAGGAGGTCCTACCCTATCATTGGACTGGGGGTGGGGCATAGGAGAAGACGAAGGAGGTAGGGTGGGATTGGGAGGGAAAGAAAGAGGGGGCTACAGCTGGGATACATAGTGAATAAGTTGTAATTAATAAAAAATAAGTAAATAAAAAATAAAAAAAATAAAATAAGAAACAAGACAGAAGCCTACCACAGAGGGCCTCTGAAAGACTCTACCCAAAATTGTATTAGAGGGTACTGAGACTACAGCTGAGATACAAAGTGAATAAATTGTAATAAATAAAAAATTATATTTTAAAAAGATGGTTAATGATTGGAATAGTTGATTTCCAAGCTATGTCTATTTAGGAACATTCTGAATAACCAGTTCTTACAAGGCCCTTACTAAGCACACATTTTAAGACCCTTCAGATACAGATGACTGGTAATTGAGCTGACCTTACTTTAAAATCTCTAAGGTCTGTCTCTTTTACCCTCAGCCTCCTCGAAGATATATATCCAGAGACAATTGTCCTTATGAGGTTTCCTAGTTTCATCAGAGCATCTGAATATGAACTTCACAGAATGATAGAGCATCAGGGACACTTGGTGATACCTTATGTGCCATGCTTGACCTCCTAGGACTTACAAAACATGAAAGTCTCACCTCTTACCAATTCATCTTCCCTGCCCTACACTCCCATTCCTGCACCTAACTATTCACTTTTGAAGTGCTTGCTATCCATCATAACCTATGACAAAATACATTCCTGGGATAGCTTCCTTTCAAAAAAAAAAAAAAAAAAAAAAAGACTTGCCATGTTTAAAAGCAGGTTGTTTATGAAGTAATCTAAAAGTCAAAAAGAGTGCTTGGGGGTGTGATTAAAGTGGCAAGGTTCTCCTTTGTCATCACAAGATCCTGAATTCAGTTACAAGCACTCTGAAAATAAAACCCGAATAATCCAAATAGATAGATGAAGCCTCAGAACACAGATCGTTCATTTCAGTGCACTTGGCCAACTCCCTGCCTCACTCTGAAGAGAGAGCAATCAAGTAAAGAAGAAAAGAATTCCTTCACGGAAGGCAATGCAACAGGGTGATGTGCATCCATAGGCAAAGAGATGGATAAGAGCTGGGATGTGCGCACAATTTTACTCAGCTATCAATAACAAAACTATATCATTTGAAGGGAAATTGGTGGAAATAGAGACCATTGTGTTAAAGGAAATAACCACACTCAGAAAAGAGAAACATCGCCTGTTTTCTTCTTTATGGAAACAATAAATAAAATTTATTTGGGATATGAAACGGAACCAACAGGAGGAAGAAGGAAAAGCAAGAGAGAACTAGAGGAGTAATATATCAAAGTTATATGCATGTATGAAAATATCATAGGAAAACCCATCATTTTGTACGATTAGCATGAACTCATTTTTTAAATTCTTATTCTAATTCTGTACAATTTATTTACTTTGTATCCCAGTTGTAGCCTCCTCCCTCCATCTTTCTTTCCTATCCCTCTTCCCTAGTCCACTGATAGGGGAAGTTCTCCTCCTCTATTATCTGGCCCTAGCCTATCAGATCCCATCAGGACTGCCTGGATCCACTGCCTCTGGGGGCTGACTAGATCACCTCACCAGGGAGGAGTGATGAAGGAGCAGGCAACCAAGTTCATGTCAGACACTGTCTCTTCTCCTCTTACTAGGGAACCCACACAGTTCCCTAGTTTATGGGCTACATCTGAACTGTTTATGGGCTACATCTGAGCAAGGGGTCTAGGTCCTTTCTATATATGGTCTTTGCAGTCTCCCCTGGGCTCTGCATTTTTTTTTCTTGGTTTTGCTAATCTCCTTGTGTGGCTCCTGTCCCCTGCGGGTCCTTTTATACCCTCCTTCTTCCATAAGATTTCCTGTTTTATGTCCAAAGGTTGGCTGTGAGTCTCTGCATCTGCTTTGTTTCCCTGCTGGTTGGAGTCTTTGAGAAGACATCTGTTGTAGGCAAGGACATTGCTCAACCATGTTTTTATCAGCTCTATTTGTAATAGCCATAACTGAAAACATACTAGATATCCCTCAACCAAAGAATGGAGGCAGAAATTGTGGTACCCTTACACAATGGAATACTCACCTATTAAAAACAAGGAAATCATGAAGCTTTCAGGCAAACATATGGAACTAGAAAAGAATGAGTTATCCCAGAAGCAGAGAGACATGTGTGGTATATAGTCACGCATAAGTGGATATCAGCCATATTATATAAGATAAACATACTAAAATCTACAGACCTCTTCAGTAGGAAGTTTATTCTTAGTACATCTTTTTCTTTCCTGTGAACTCTTCGTATTTCAATAAATTCTGAGAGAAAGGATACTGATTTAATTCTCAAAGACCCAATATTGTCTTTGTCACTCTATAGAAAATTTCTTTTTTTGTGTGTGCATTTTATTTTTTTAAAAGTACCTCCTATAATGATTTTGTGTAGTTTGCTAACATGAAGATAAGCAACTTGCCCCATAAGCTTCATCTCATCCTAACTCCAATGAACTGTAGTCTGGATAGCTTTCTAGTGGCATTAAACACATCACCAATGTATAAGAAGGTTCATTTTGACAATGCCTAATTGAAATATATGGATTTTGCAAAGCTTTGGGAGGGTGTCATTTGGAAAACATGAGCTAGCAGGAGAAATTGTCATGTCTTCTGAGAATGGCTGGGTAATGCCTTTGCATATTACATACATTGACAGAAAATTTCCTACAATGTCTTTATAATTTATATCTATTTGCTTAATGTTTAAACTGAAACAGTTGACACATGAATTATTTTATACTAACCACCCCTTTAGAAAAGCTATTCATTTTCAAACAGGATTTTAATAGAACACTCTGTTAAAAGCATATGGAATTTATTATGAAAATCATAGATTATTAAATATAAAGTAATATTACTTTTAAAATAATACAATGAAAACATATCTTGCTGGTTGTCAGTTTTAACTATTTTTATGTTAAGAATCATAGACTGATTCTTTTTAATTAGTTCATTCTCTTTTAGTATTTTAGTTTATGACATTTTCAATTTGGTCAGTTGTTACAGAATTGTAACTGACATGAAAAAGTAAAAAAAAAAAATTGAAAGAAAAGAATGGTTGATAGTGACAGCTGATTGTTGTGGGAGATCTCCCATTCATGATTTTATTTATGTTTTGTGATATATCTTGAATTCAGTTTTCTTTACCTCTTGTAGACTGAGAAATCAATTTACCCAAAGCCTCACAATGAACTAGAGCTAAAATATGGTTTAGATTCTTGTGTATTATCTTAGTGATCTGAGGAACAAGAAAATATTTTTCCAATTCCAAAATAAAAAAAAATATTTGTAACAATTTCCATCTTCTTTTTTGTCTTTTCCATCTTCTTGAAACTAAAAGGAGACCACTCATGTTAATAAAAAAAAATGTTCCAAAGCAGTTACTATCTGATGTAAATATTGTACTTAGAAGTGAAAGAAATACATTTTCTGCTCTGAAGTTTTCTCAGTTTTGTATAGGCCCCAGAGTAACTCTCTCCCTTAAGCAAATCTTTGGCATAGGACATAAAGTATGCTTAAACTATCCATATCTGTCTTTACACACTGTGCTGTGCATGACACAGAGTGCTTAGTGAGAACTTCTTTCAGCATGGGCAAAAGTGTAAGGAAGAACACCAATACACTACGTCTTTCATAAACTATGCTACACTTAGCCATTGTTGAGGGCTAAAAGTAGGAAAGGTGTCTTAGCTCATCTTAAAACTATTAACATCACTTGACAGAAGGGACAAAAAATACAGTGAGTTGATGAGTATCAACGCAGTTTGAAAATTTTGTCAATTTTGACAGAAAAAAAAAGACAATCTAATGAGGCAGAGGGTTGGAGCTGTATCACCATACTGCCTGCTAATGACGCTGACCAGAAAATCATGCGTCTAAAAGGAAGTTAAAAACAGTTTATCACAATTCACAGTAACTGAACTATGATCTTTTCCACAAATAATTTATAATGTTGATGAAAATTAAGGCAAGAGAGGAATCTACAATTCAAATCAAGTGAACTTACTTCAAATCTGATTCTGTTAATGATGAAGCAGGGTATCAGTAATGACTAGTGTCAAGGAACGAACCGAGAAACAGAGAAAAGAAGAAATTACAATAGAAGTGTCAGGTACAAATTTCACCACATTTCACTTCACACTCAGCACTAGCTTGCTTCCCATACTCAGGCCAACAGCATAGCACTCTATGAAATATCAGTAGTGGCTGATATTTTCACTTAACTTTGCAAGGTTTGAGACACCTGGAATCTACCAGTGACCTTTCTGAAGGCAGCTTTCACATCTTTGTTTCTCAGACTATAGATCAGAGGGTTCAGCATGGGGATGACCACAGTGTAGAAGACAGACACGACTTTGTCTTCCTCCAGGGATTTGCCTGAACTGCTCCGTATGTACATGAAGATGAGGGTCCCAAAGAAAAGAGCCACAGCGGTGAGGTGGGAGGCACATGTGGAGAACGTTTTACCTCTGCTTCCTGAAGACTTCATCCTCAGGACAGCCTTGATAATGAGCAGGTAGGAAATGAGTATGACCAACGCATTGACCAAGATGACAAAGTTCCCAAAAAAGACAATTATAATTTCAACATTTGTTGTGTCACTGCAGGCCAGCTTCAGCAGGGGTGGAAGGTCACAAAAGAAGAAGTTAATTTGATTGCCTTCACAGAAGAAGAGAGAAAAGGTGCATGTGGTTCTTAAGATGGCCCCAAACAACCCACCAGCATAGGCACCAGCCACCAAACTCCAGCATCTTCTAGGGCTCATGGCCACAGTGTAGAGTAGTGGGTTGCTAATAGCAACATAGCGATCATAGGCCATCACTGCCAACAGGAAACACTCGGTTGCTGCACAGATGGTGAAGAAGAAAAACTGGGTAGCACATTGGCCATAGGAGATGATCATTTTGTCTTTGGCCAGTGTTGCCAGGATCTGAGGGGTGATGACTGAGGTATAGCAGGCATCCAACACAGAAAGGTGGCTCAGGAAGAAATACATTGGGGTGTGGAGTTGGATATCCACCTGGATGAGAATGATCATGCCCAAGTTTCCCAAAATGGTGACAAGATAGAAGCTGAGAAACACCAGAAAAACACCAGGGACTTCCCACTTGGGAAGGTCAATAAAGCCCATGAGAACGAACTTGGTTACAGTCGTGAGGTTATTCTTGGCCATAGAACCAATGTGAACTGTTAATCTGAGAATGACAATGAAGTAAAAACACATACCAAAAATCCCACAAACTCCTTCTCTCTGTGACAGAGGTTGAGTTTGTAACCATTAGCTTATTTACAATGCTTGTTTCAGAAATCCTGAACCAGGCTTATTTTTCTAGGGCAGTTCCTAAATTTGGTTGGGCTAAGCCATATGCTGCTGTTTCTGCTCTACATCAATTCTGGTTTATATTCGTGAATTTCTGTGAAGACAAGACACATGTGACACTCAGGTTTGGAATGGACCAAGACAACAATTATTTCAATCTTATCTTTTGTATCACACAACTACCCTATAGTTATATGATAGTGGAATCTGTCCATGCCTTCTACCCGGTCACCCCAGTTTAACTATGCTGATTCTTAAATCCACCTAATACCTGTTTGAAATGATATTCTTACAGAAGTTTGAAGATTATAATTTTTCTCTTCCTCTTTTCCGTGTAGCACACATTCATATTTTTTTCTGATCATGTGTTTATTTAAACAGGCTGAGAAAACTGCCTATCAAAGGTTGAGCAAGACAGTTCAGCTGATAGAGGCACTTAAACAGGCCTGACAATGTGAACTATTTACCCATGTCCTACAAGGTGACTGGAGAGAAGCCATTTCAGAGAATTGACCCCTGATCACTACAGGTGTGCTATGACCTGTGTGGGCCTGTGTGTGGGCCTGCATGCACACAAATATGCACATATGCACACACACACACACAGAGACCACAAAAAATAAAATAAAAACTGGAACAACTAGATCGATATAGATGATAGATAGATAGATAGATAGATAGATAGATAGATAGATAGAAAAATAGATAGATAGACAATAGATGATTGATAGATAGATATTTTCTCAAGAAGCCCTAAATAGTCAACATATTTTTCTCTGCACTCCAGTCTTTAGCACCAAGCTCAGAGGCTATAATATTCAACATATAGTGTTTCATTCCTTATTTTATTATGTGGCTTTGGCAAGGCATCTTGCCCCTTTTGACTTTATTTCTTATTTATAATACGGAAAAGATGTGCACGTATTAGTAAGTTATTTTGAGTATTATGTAATTTAATATATGTAAGAGATATAGATTAATATCCAGTTCAGGAATACCTAAATATAGTCTACTATTAGTATTATTATTGCAAATATTATTATAAAATTTAAATATGAACTATTCTTTCCTTTTCTGAAATATAATACATTTCACCCATATAATTTTTTTATATTTTCCTCTGTACCTTATTAACAATGTGTTTTCAGATTACAGTTTGTTAGAAAGACAGGTTCACATACACAGAAAATTATGACAAAGTAATTGAGTTATTTTTGTTCTCTTGCTAAATTAAGTAAATTCCTCCTGACTCATTCTTTCTTCTGTTAAAAATAACTCTTGTTTTTCACTCAGGACCTGTAGCATCACTTGTTCTTCTGGCTAGCTCTTCTGCCACTTCTCCTGTTGGTGGTCATGAAAATGGTAAGTGGTACTTCGCTGTTATGATTGCATATATACCATGCACTGAAAGAATTCTGTTGATTCTGGGAAAAAAAAACTTTCAAACATCAAGTAAAATTAACGTTCTTTTCCTATGCTTTGTCAATTTTTCAAAAATAATTATATTCAACTTGCTTTACAATGTCTTTTGGAAATTTTTGCATTTTCTACTATTTCTTATTGGTATATGGCATAGATCTGAGTCACACCATCACCCACATACATAGCCACTGGTCATTTTTCATATGCATTATGTCTCTTCCAAAAAAGTTTCTAACACCCAAATGGTACTTGAGAACTTCTTCATAGAAACTCAGGTGCATATCTCCTTACCTCAAAGGCATTGACACTTATATACTGTATACATTACTGTCAATAATATCACTAGACAAGTTACTATCAATACACCACATATGGAGGAGACACTGAACACAGGTATGACTTCACATGCAGAGGGATCACTGTTCACGCTTCAATTACCCTGGATTGCTTCCCTAGAACCATTTTCTCATTACCTTAGTGCCGCATCCCGCACCATGAGATTCAGATTAAAACTGGGGGAGGGGGGGTATTTAAAATGGCTTCAGTTTGGTTCCTTCTTACACTAAGAGAAAGACAAATTTTCAGATGATTTACTGAAATACTTCTAACCTTCCCAATTTGATTTACATCTAGAAATTTGGTGCCCTTTATTGTAAAAAGGAACATTGTTAAATAATGTAAAATATTTCATATGCATGATCATTGATTAGCCTATGGATTTATAACCATACGTGATGGTTGTAGCACAGGCAGTAGGTGAATGTTGGGGTAGGAAGAGAAAATTTATGGGGCACTTAGTATTTGAAGTGCACAAAATACTGAGAATCAAATTCTATGTTTCTGGAATATCAGAGTTAGGATGATAACACAATCATAATTGTATAGTGGATATATATATATATGCACATGATGCATTAAAAACCAAGAGTTCAAATAAAGTAAAATGGGATACTTATCTCATTCCTACCATTTTGTAGCTTGTAAATTACTTACTTTCTTCTGTAGCTAAAATAAATGTGTTTTGTTAAAAAAAAAACTTGCTAAATCAAAGCTGTTGATTCTATAACCAAACGCGTGACAATATAAAATAATTACTAAGAAATTATTTTCAATAAGCTTAACTAGGAATTCTGTTTTCTGTCATGACATATGACTGTCATTATTTATAAAAATCCATCATAATAAAAATGACTGACTTAGCATAATGCATCTCTATCCTTTTTATTAATACTTACAAACCTCTATAGATAACTCTACATGCCTTCATGTTTGACAGATTCCTTCATGTATTACCTACACATACATGTATATATTACGTATGTAAGTTTAAGAGTGGTTTAGCGAACAAAACCCTTAATTTTTTTCCAAGAATCAAATGTGGCTTTGCTTACATACACTTCTAAGATATTTCACAGGAAAACTTTCAGGATGACACCTGTAATATCCACGTTTTAGACACTATCATGTTGGTTTGATCTTAGAATAAAGGGCGCCAACAGCCTTACTGAACCCAGATAGTTTACAGCTAGCAAAACTTTTGAAAAAAAGTTGATATTATTATTTATGACATACAATGAAGAACATTAGAAACTTGAAGGTAGAAAAAGAGATATGCTATCTAGAAAAACTTTTAAAAAGAGATTAACTCTAAAAGTTGTACTTACATTAACTTTCAAACTCCTGTCAACCTCAGATAAGAAAAACAGAGCCCAAAGACATTAAATGATTTGTCTAAAATATCACTACAAAAATGAAGAGATATTTAGATGTTACCTGAACTTCTGACTGCAGCTTTTCCAAACATTGGTGTTTTGTTCACTGAATACCTGCTTTGCACCAATCACAATGTGAGGTGTACTACAACTTTAGCTCACACAATCTTGTGATCCCAGAAAAGAGGTGTTATTTTATCCTTGAAGAGACTAAGACTAAATAGATCAGGATGAGTAAATACGAAATCTAGGTTTATAGCATTCCAAAAATGGAACTCTAACATACATGTTCTACACACGTTATTTCACACAATATTGTAACCCTAAAAAAGAGAAGGTATTTTGTCGCTGAGGAAACTAAGATTAGATAAGGAAGTTTTCAAGATCAAGGCAACAAGTAAATTTGGGATCTAGTCTAGGTTTAATTTATTCCAAAATATATACCTCTAATACATGTGATTATCCACCCCCTTCCAGCACAGATCCACGAGCACAGAACTCACATTCTCGGGGAAATCTTAAAACTAAACTCTACTATCTGGTAACAGCCTCGCTCAAGAAACTGTATGTTCTAAAACTACCTAGTAATACACAACTCCAAGAAAATTAAAGCTGGTAGCAGCAAAACAAAATGATCCGTATGTCCCTGTGCATCTTAGGTGGAAATGGAATGATGGCTCTGGTGCCCTGTTCTTTCACGTGACTTGAGTTCCATCTCTAGTACTCACAAGGCATTTCACAATTATCTGTAATTCCAATTCCAGGGGATCCAATGTCCTGTTCTGTCCTCTGCTGATACCAAAAATATATCTGGTGCACAACTATGTGCAGGCAAGGCATTGGTACAAAAAAGTTAAAAGAACTTAAAAAGAGAAGATCCAATAGCATTGGCCTTTGTTCAATCCCTAATTTGGCTTCACTGGTTTGTCTGAAAATACCCAGTATCTTTCCAGGATTCACGTGTGATAGACTTGTCCTATTCCACTCAAAGCTTTTGAATTCAGATAAGCAAAGTCATTATGCATTTGTAGAAAGCAGCTGAGATTACACACATAGTTCAATGTCATTAATTCATTGTGGGATTTCTTCTTGCATAGCAAACCAGTGGGTATTTAAATTGGTTTGGGGGATGGCTCTGTGAGAGCTGCTCAGAGGGGAAAACTTCCCCTGAATCATAAATCAGCTCCAGGGACAGTGCACAAGACTTCTGGGAAAAGCCTCCCCACTCCCACCCCTTGCTCAACAATTTCCCTCAGGCAGAGGCTTAGTTTTACATCTTCTTCCCATTTTTGAGAGGATAAAACCTTTGGGATTTCATGGTTTCTTAAGACTTTTAGGTTCTGGGGGATCAACAGCAGCTTTGGCAGGGAATGGGCATGTTCTGCTATGTTAGTCAGTCTGTGGCCTAAAAGTCAGATTGGAGGTCTCTTCATAAAAGTCTCTTTATACTCCCCATATTCTTACATGCATTGTCCAGTTACAACTCAGGTCTAAAACCCAATAGCACTGGCTGCTCAATTTTTATATAAAGGCATGATTTTTGACTCAAGGTGCAAAAAGCAGTATAAACATACATCAGTTGCCTTAATACAGACCATCTTCCCTCAAGATCCATTTCCAGAGATCCACAGCCACCTTCCTTACTTCTAGTTCTCATCTATTTCCTACCTCTGAAACCCACAATCATTTTTGTTGAACAATATAATTTGCCTGAATTGG